TCACTCTCTGTTTCTTCTTCTTCCTCGTGCCTGGTGTTGCCACCAAAAACATCTCTCTCTACTTGAAATTCGTAATTGAAAGCTATTAATTTGATTGGTAACTCGTCAACATGCAACTTTTGGGTTGATTCAGTACTGTACCCCAGGCAACAGACACGGAAAAAGTGGAGTCTGTCCCCAACCATCATCATTTTATCCAAATCACATTTCTTCCAAGAAGCAACTGGAAGAATGGTGCTATAGAGAAGGGATATGAAAGCAATTCCAGCACACTGTTGACCTGGATAGTGGTAGAGAGGTTGATCACTGTCACCCTGATGGGTAGATGCAAAGGTGACCAGTTTTTTTGAATCTTCTTCATCTTCTGAAGACAGGTAATCATCTCTGATACCTGTCATCTGGTTAACTGTTTGGCGAAAATGTCTTCCATCTCTCGATTGCTTTCCTTTTTTAGGCTTCTTACCTATATGTAAGGAGAACGTACCAGAACATGAAATGAGCCACTTCAGTGTTTTTAAATCCTTTATTATGCTATTTTGTAGCCCATATGAATCTACACGTCGCCCCATGTAAGGTAATCCAAGAGAGTCTTGGATTCCGGATTCCACGCTGTGGATTCCGGATTCCATGCCTGTGGATTCCGGATTCCACATCCGTGGATTCCGGATTCCATAAGTGGCTGGATTCCAGATTTCAAAATTCTATTTTCTGGTTTTCAACGTTTCCTTTGTACTTTGTTTTCACCAAAAAAGCTTGTTCTTTTTTTACTCGAAGTGTACATTGTCTTATATAAAATATAAGTATAAAATATAATTCTTGGCCTTACCCGAGAGGATTATGAATATAGGAGCGGTTTCTGAAGTCCACTGAGTCCACATCGTTGAAGAAATACTAACGAGGAAGGGCTATTCTTATTCTAATAATAACAACGGCGTCAACAATAACAAAAGAGGTACACATTGCCAAAATCAGTGCTTTTCAGGTTCAAACATAATTCGTCTCCGAATTGTTTAATTGCCACACAGAAATGTAAAACTTCAGTTACAGCTTACCAACAAATAGCGTGAAGATAGTCCAATTACTAGACTACAAGCTACGCAGGCAACGGAAACGTTTATCTTAGAATAAACCATGTCGTTCTCCGTCCTGATAAACTAACTCCCGGCAGTCTTATCGGGATGGATACTTCTCCCTCATCCTCTGCAGTTGGTGGTGCAGTTTCATTCTCATTGTCATCATCGTCACCGTAGTCCCCATTAGCAATTCGACAGAGCCTGTTATCCTCCTCTGTTGTTAAAATGATGTCTGATCCATCGGAAGAAAAGTCGAGTACTCGGGTTAGAATGCACTTGGGGGAATTCCCATTACAGACATCACCGGAGGTGTATGTTAGTGAATCACTTGTTTGGTTTAGCCACTTTAGGGATACTCTTTGCTGCACAAAATTTCCACCATTCACTTCTATTTGTACATCCTCCAGAAGAACTGCTAGCCAGAAGGGTGAGATCTCTCTTCTACGGTTGTGTCTTACTGCCAATATGTCGTCTTTCTGGTAAATGGTTTGCACCCGTACAGCCGTACTCCGCAATGCCACATTAGCATCCACAACTTGGCAAGCTGTTGTTACGTCTTCGCTTTCCTCTAATGAGGCTGTGATGGTAGTGGGACACATACTAAGGGCATAAGGAAGGGTGCCAGTTAGCTCTTTCGTTTTTGAGCGGACATTTTCCTGTCTTACGCCTCTTCCATACTCCTTAGCAAATTCTCGCATCACAGTTTCTCGCCTTGTGTCTTCTTCTTTGCTACCTGTTCCTTCAGTGATTGCTAACAGCTTGTTTGGTCGCGTCTTGATGTTTGAGGGTTCACCTTTGATAATTTTCTCCGGATAATATGAATTGGGCCCAGTGAAATATGAGAAATCCTTCTGGTAAATGCGCAGCATATCGTCTTCCACGCAGCGCGCTCTTCTGTAAGCGTAGTTAGCCACTGTAGGCATGTCGTGGTCTGCTCGCATTCCTTTGAAATAGCATTCCACGCCCAAAGTTGTCATACTTTCGAAACAGATCCTGTCCAGAAGGTGACTATGCCCAATCTCCGTTAGCGTGTTGGTAAGGCTGGTCAGCGATTCTAGCACTATGAGGAAGGACTGTCGGGTGCGTCGAGGTATGGTCATGTCGGGACCGTTGGTATTTCGCTTGCCCGTCCTCTCCAGGGCTTCCTGTTCGTGGTTAGAGAGAAATGCAACCAACTCCTCGACCGATTTCACATGATCTTCAAATGTACGTGGTAGGTCTTCTTCTTTGGCTTTCTTGTCGAGTCGGAACACGTTTGCGTATTGGGCCATCTTACTTTGCAGGGGGATCAGTCCCTTTGCTGACGTCAACATTCTTATTGCTACGTTACCGGTACCGCATACGAAAACGGTGTTTCGATATACGCATAAAGCAGTAGGTTTGTTCCATCGACTTTGGACACCATCACGATGGCCTGCAGTTTCTCCACACACTTTTGTTAGGGTTTCTTTACCCCCAAGCATCTCTTCTTCCTTCAAACTGAACAGTGCGTGTTCTTCGCTGGAGGACAAGAACACGGTTCCACCATCTGTCACTGCAATACCCATGAGGCCTGGAATATTCGAAATTGCTCTCAGTTTCAATCGTCCTCTCACTTGACAAAGATGAATACATGAACCATTCCCGTCTCCAACTAACAAGTATTGCTCGTCACGTGTTAAGGCTAATGAAGTTAATAAACTAGATCGATCAAAACAAAACAATTCATTTAACTGGCCGACGCAGTTAGTTTCCTCATCGTCTACAACACCAGAAATTGAAAAAATCTTGCCAAGACCAACGTCTGACACAAACAATTCAACGCTACCCTTTGCAGACGCACATATGGCAAATGGTGACACCAGATCCGGTACATTACCCTCAGAAATAAGGGAAAGATCGTGTACATGGACTTTACGGATACGTCTACCGGCGCAATCTTCTTCCTCACTTTGGCTTTCTTCGGCGCTCCCTTGTACAATCTGGGAAGCGTGACAGAAAAGCGTTCGCAAATTGACTAATCTAACTCTTCCGTTTCCTTGGTCACAAACGTACAGCTTCCCGCTCTCTTTCACTGCAAAACCAGCTGGGTTTCTAAATCTGGCCTTGTTGCCATATCCATTAGTGTGCCCGGGCTCACCACCACCAGCGATTAATGTGACATTTGCTGGACATTGCATGTCAACCATGAGGACTGCATGGAGACGTCTATCGGTAATAAACAGCCTGCTATGCTTTGGGGAGAATGCCAATCCTACCGGGTAGCTTAAAAGAGAGGCCCCGTTCTTTTTCCAGTGCTTGAATTCCAGTTCTGGAACTAATGTTGTGCTCACTCTTTCATCTGGAATGGAATCTTGAATCGCTTTCCGGTGAATCTCCACTGCTGTTTCTACATCCATCCGATCTTTGTTTCGAACTGCTTTCAATGAAACTGATTTCTTGATGTCTTCGTATTCTCTACGTAGCACCAAAAGCAGCGTTACATTCACTTGATTCACTAGGTATCCATCAATGTCAATCCAATGCCAAAACTCTGCAGAACGTACTGACTTGATGTTGTGTGGGCAGTCACGAATAGGGACTTGGTAGGGGTACTTCGCCCTGTCTGCTAGCATGGAATTCATAAAGCTCTTTTGCTTGGGATCGCAGTCAGTGGCCCAAACCAATAGGAACAGTCGAGTGAAACACGCGTGAACATGCCTGTTGCGCGTCCTTGCTACATGGGATTTTCACGCAATAGTCGCTAAAGGAAAAGAAGAGGCCCTGGAACCATCACAACAGAGTGGACTCCAGCAACCTGGATTCTGGATTACAATGCTTGGATTCCGGATTCCATTAGCTGGATTCCGGATTCCAAAGCCGTGGATTCCGGATTCCACAGACCAAAATTACCTGGATTCCGGATTCCGGATTACCTTACATGGGGCGATACACGCACCTTAAAGAAATCATCCATGACAATAGCCATGTAATATCTAGGCCTCAGGCAATCGGGGTATTGTCGGGTTACGATTCTTTTATGGAAAGGAACTCTGTAGTTCCAGGTCTTTTGTCATAAAACAATTCTTACATGTAGTACCTTTTTGCAGAGCATGAGACATCTTTTTTCTTTTGGACCCTCTCTCCTTGTCTCCCTTGCCATCTGTAATACAGAAATATATTCATTGCATTGAAAATTAATTAGAGGGGTTAACAAAGTTAACTAACTCTACTTGAAATATTAGTCATTACTTTTACATTTTCATTTCCATAAATCTTCTGTCGTTTTGTCAGTGATTTGTGTAGGAAAACGAGCAAAAATGAGCAAAGAGAACTTTCTCACAACTGTTAAGTAAAGGAATGTGTCCAGACAGAATGAGAATTGTGTAAAATTTACAGAAAATTATATACTGTAGATATTTTAGTGCGGGCTTTTTGATTAGCTGTCCCTTTATTCATAACATGATTTGTTGGATTGGATTATACCTTTAGCTGAGTCTTCTTTCAAGAGCTTTATTTTCTTCCTTCCTGTATATTCCTCTGAAAGAATAACAGAAATTAGGTATCAGAGGCTTTATTTCAATCTAATTGCTACCATGATCTCCCAGATCAGATTACTATTACAATGTCTAGCACATTAGCTTTAGATTACAGGGGATTCCATCAGTGTCCATGTCTGCTGTTGCCTCTGTGTGATCTTCAACAAATTAGATAAGATATTATACTGGCTACATAGAGAGGTAGGTTATCTGCTCCAATTCCTATTATAGCGATTATAAAAGAATACAGTTGTATAAAATGATTATTTGTATTACCTGTCTTTAATTCATGGACATATTTCCTTTTAAGGTTAGTCTCTGTAGGAGTCTTTCTTGGATTATTTCCTTGGGTTTCAGGAGCTGATGATCCCTCTTTCATCCTATGCTTTCTCAGACGACCCCTTTTTGAAACGGTGTGGAAAGTGACAGGCTCTTTAAAAGCAGAGCTTGGCAGCCACATGTCATCATCAGAGGTGTATCCTTTAAACCTAACTTTGTATTCTTCTGAGTGGAACTGCTTGTTGAGTCTTACTTCTAAAACCTTTTCCACCTCATAGTAGTCATCATCAGTATTTGTATCTGCAGTGCTAGCAATTTTCAGGTTGTCTTTTTCCTTCAGTTGCAGTTTGGCAATGCTGTCCTCAGATAATGAAGATGTGCCATCCTCATTCTTCACCATTTCAATTTCACAAAGCACTTTATTGAGAGGGATCCACTTGGACAATAAAATCTTGTAAGGAACATCATATTTACCTTGACTTACTTCAGTGTATGGTCGACCTCTCACTGACCCTTTATTTTTCGAATTTGCACTTATCTGTTCTTTCCCCTCCTCTGATTGTATAGAGAGAATGTGCAAGAACTCCACCTGGTCTTTGACCCTTACAGCCACGTCCCGGAACCTGATCACATCATGACTTTTATCTATCTTACTCCAAGCTTGAATAAGGGATTTTCCTACCCAGTGTCTTCTGGATCGTTCTTTTGAGATGTACTCCCTAGGTAACAGAACTTTAAGAGCTTTGGAGATGTGCACATTATTTCCATCCTTTTTAATATACCATCTCATGTTGGGTGGGACACTTTTACCTGTATCGCTGTTGTGATCATCCTGGTCACTATCGCTATCTTCAACATCGCTGACAGAAGTGTGTGATGAAGGATCGCTATCCTTGCTGTCTGTTGTTGACCCTTTTGGTTGTTCTTCTTCTTCCACTTGCACGTCGTCGATGTCAGTTGCATTTTCTTCCTCGGTGTTGCTAATGACAGCTGCTGAATCAGCACTTGAGGATAATGATACATGTAATTTATTGTATTCTTTAGGTGGAGGGCCTACACTTACCATCTTTATACCTGTTGGCTTCTGCTGTATTGTAAACCTTCGTGGGAAATCCATTGTCAGGCCCAGCATTAACACTGAACGTTTCAAAGATAGCTTTTTTAATAGATTGATTTTTAAATATAATCTAGCTGTGTAAATACCCCATATATATTTTTCATCAATTTAATCTTTTTTATTCATCTTGATCATTGTAATTTTTTTCTGTCAATATATATTTTTACTGTAACATCAGATATGTAATTTTACCGGATGCTTTTTAATAAAGACGTTATTATTATTATTAAGGACGTGTTCATAACATTTGTCACACAGACTTGTCACACAGACTCGTCACGTCACGTCACTCGTCACGTAAATCAAATACCGATCATAAAACACGCGAAAATGAAAAGTAAATTGGTCACACAGACCCCGATAGGACCTCGGCGTACAGCCGGATGCATAACATTTGTCACACAGACGAGAAAACTAAATTCGTCACACAGACGAGAAAACTAAATCTGGCACACAGACGAGAAAACTAAGTTTGTAACACAGAGGAGAGAACAAAATTTTGTACACAGACGCGAAAACTAAACTTGTCACACTGACGGGAAAACTAAATTTGTAACACAGACGGGAAAAACTAAACTTGTCACACAGACTTGTCGCACGGACGGAAAACCAAAGTTGACACACAGACGCGGGAACTAAATTTGTCACACAGACCCGAAAACTAAACTTGTCACCCAGACGGAAAACTAAAGTTGTCACACAGACGCGAAAACTAAGGCTGTCACGCAGACGCGAAACCCAAACTTGAACACAGACGGAAAACTAAACTTGTCACACAGACGGAAAATTAAAACTAATAACACAGAAGCGAGAACCAAGCTAAAAGACCAACAACGCCTAGCCCGAAAAACGCGCGGAGGAAAACGAATACAAGGATAAGAGAAAACACCAACCTCCTGAGCCGCAGGTTAGGGCGCAGGAAACCACGTTGTCGTTAGCGTTCTGTGCGTTTTGTCACCGGCAGTGTCGGCTGGAGCCGGAGGCGCGACAACTGGAGGGTCAACGGCCGCTACAACAGCCCCATCCGCAGGAACAACAGGGACTTGGTCCGGCATAGAGAACGAAGAACGAAGAGAATCTTCGAAGATGGCGCAGCCATTACCGGGCGAGAGAAAAAGAACGCCAAGCCAACGACTGGCAAACGTTTAACGAAAAGATAATTAAACAGGCCAAAACAGGCCTATTTATACAAAACCTGTGTGAAACAGAACACCCAGGAGACTACGAGCGCGCGGGAATTTTTATCCTTGAATCCCGAAGGGATTTGAGGCGTTTGTACGAGATGGCCCCAGTGAGAATAGCAAGAGACTGACAACTAAAGATTATCATTGCAAAGTGTGATGGAAATATTACAACTTGTAACAGGTTAGTTTATTACAAAGTGCGATAGACAAATATTCCTTTTCTTACAAAGTGCGACAAGGTTTATTATAAATTGCGACAGGTATTACAAAGTGCGATAGAATTATTACAAATCGTCCACCGGGCATTTAATTACGAAGTGTGATGGATTTATTAGAAATTACCACACGTAGTACAAAGTGCGATGATTATTACAAACTGCCACAATACACGACAGTACACCCTGTTGATCAAAACCGCGCTGGTAGACGGCAGAGATGAATAAAATGATTTTCCTTCTCATTCTCTGCTTCATCGTTGGCGCAGTTTTAGCAGCCGAAGAAGAATCTAGATCTGCCTTCATCAAAACGCGAGAGAACAAGCGTTTACATGGCTATGTTGTCAATTGATTCTACGGATGAAATGTCGTGCAGTCAAGCATGTTTCATGATGTTTAAGGCATTCTTGGTGTACCTCTTCTAATTTCAAAGAGTCCTCGGGCAGTTGTGAGCTGAACAACGTTTTTAATGTTTCTTAAGGTAAGAAAAGTTCTGAATTTTCATTGCTTAGACAACAAAAGCCTGCTTGTGCAGACGTCCCTAGCAACAAGAACTAGACTTCTGCACCCAGGCTAAGGCAACAACATGATGTATCACAATTGCGTCTAAATCAATTTTAATACATAACTGTTCAAGCGAAGTTAAGTGAAAAAATAGAAAGTTGGTAAAACAGTAAAGTTGAGTTGTTGTAAAAAGGCGGACAAATTTCAGTCATATGTTTCGTATGGGAGCGAGCCATGTTTTCCCTTTCCTAAATTTTTCAGTTCTGCAACAACAAAATCATTATCGAAGGCAATGTTTTCTTCCCCAACCAGAGGCTTACTTGCTTTGCAAATAAAGTTAAGAGAAGTATAGAGTGCAAACAAACTATAAACGTTAAAAAAGAGGCAGAGCCGGCAATTAATCAGTGGAATTTTTCATGTTCAACATAAGATTTGCGTTGTGCCGTTGAAAATGCTGTTGAAATGCTGTTGTTGTTGTTGTTGGGATCAGTCTCGCTACCTCCAATTAAATGATCTGTATATATGACTTAGTACATCGCTGCCTCCTGCCCGAGAAAGAGTGGCTAAAACATATAAAAAGCAGTAGCATAAATATAACAAATTCATTTTCCTTTTCCTTATACAATCTGCCTTTTTATACTGTTTTTCGCAGCAGAGCTATCGCTTCTATTATAGAGGCTAATTTTATTATATAGACCACTCAAATTTAGTGACAGAATTTCTATCATCGATTGTAATTTTGGCAACACCTGGCGAGTATTCGGTGTAAAGCTTATTAACAAAGTCGCTAGAACACTCTTCCATTCATTACTTTTGTTTCTGCGCCATTAAATTTGCCCTAATTTTTTATTAACGAACTAGATTTAACTACAAACAATGAGTATTCAGGCAGAGTGGCAAGCTTCAAAGCGATGTGGCAAGAGAGATATACGCCTTTGAATTCCTGTTAATTTTACGGGTGTAAAAAATTCAAAAAGTATACCCACCAAAAGTTTAATCGATCGTTGCGAAAACGTTATCAATTTCGGAGTAGTTTCTAAAAATACAATAAAGAGGGCTAGTTCTTTTAATCTGTATCGGCAAAGAAAGATTAGCTTTGAAGACAGGGTTGTAGTCGAAAACTCAAAAACATCTTCTATTAACCAATATGGCGCCGGTCCGAAGCACCCCAAAACCGGCCGTGTCGATAATTTCCGAAATAGGAGGAATTAGAACCTAAAGTTACCTATTCCTTATTAAAGACCACAAATCAGGTCTACATGCCAATATAGCTCGAATCTTACCGACAACTGCTCTTATGACCTGGGACTAAGGCGTTTACTTGCGGAAAATGAATTATTTGCTATAACTTTGGCATAGATGATGGCGCTTAATCAAATTTGTACACATAAAGAACTCATCGTCCTTAACATTTTAAAGTATAAACATTGTGTTAATAAGTCACGTGATATGTTACGTGACCATTTTGCTAAAAATCGTAAATTATTGACCAATTGGTGACCGGTTTACGAAAAGAAATCGGGAAATATCTCAATATCTCCTAACGAGAGATATTGCCAATTATTCATTTGCTCAGGACACATCTTTGACCCAGGCCTTAAACCCCTTGAGAAACAGAAATGGTTACCAAGATCTTGGGTAATAGCTGAAGTGCTTAGTGCCCAGAACCTTAAACTAACTTCAAAGAAACATTTAGTACTCTTCGGAAATCTTAACAAAAGGTCTACGTGAGGGTGGGGGTGGGGGTAGGGAGAGGGGGAACATAAAATGTCCTGAATCGACGGGCCATCTGCATCTTCCACTCAATTAGTTCATACGATGCTTTTTTGTTTGTTTTTGTTTGTATGAGTTGTCTGAATTTTCGTAAGCTTTTTAAATTAGTAGCTAGGAAACGGTGTTTTTGAGGATCTGATTGATCGATAGCAAAATATCTGATAGACCTGATAGATAGAACAATTTAAGTTACAGAAGAAAAGAGAAACCTCTAAATATATCTGATCTCTTATTTTGTACATAATTTTTCTTTATAGCAAAAGTTAATATCTGTCTTTTACTATAATAGCGTGTAACCCGGTTTTTAATAAGCTATATCTTATTAAATAAGAGCTCGCTTCTTTTCAGCTGTCTGTAGTTTTGCCAAAACGTTTAATTAAACTGAGGTCTATTGACTTTCAGTTTAATACTCGTTTGCTGCGTTAGTTTACATGGCATTATACTCGCTGTTGGTAATTTTCTCACAAACAGAAAACGGTTATCACGATCTCCTTGGGTAATAGCTATTGGTAACATTCGATTAATGAGTTTTTAATAATAGAGAGATTAAGATTCATGTTTACGGCACACGGCAAACGGCAAACATCAGTTGAGAATTTCTCAAAATAGAAAATAAGCAGATAAAAACAATCCAGAACGATTCTTTTGGATAAAACTGGCATAAAACTACTTATTTTTGTGTAGAAGCAATAAACGTTGAACGAAAAATAAGGGGAAAACTTGGTCACGTGGTACAAATTCACGTTTGCCGTTTGGTGTAAACGTGAATCTTAATCTCTCTATTATCTTGGCGAAACGTGTACTCAGGGTAAGGGCTAAAATGTCCAAAGCTCGCCTCTCAGTATTACTTCTTTCCCAAATACCCGAATAGGCAACAAAATTCAACAAACATTAAAAATTGAATGAGATTAAAAAAATAGATATATTTGCTCTAGTTAATTCTAGTTAATACATTTCAAACTAACCAAAATAAAATTCGTTGGTGTTCGCATGAAGCACAGACAGTAACATTGATGTCTCTTTGTCTCTCGTTTAGGGAGAAAGAAGTCGACAGGAGTAAAAGCGACACAGTGCACATATTTTATAAACATAAACACTATGCTTCTGCATACGGTATGTGCATACAGTTTTTCCTTCTGCCTTTCCCTTCAAATCGGCAAAGCCAGTCGATGGATGAAATAAAAATGAACGCTTGTGCTGAGATCAATAACAAACTAAATTATTTGCCTTCTTATCAGAGTTTATTGAATGTGGTATTAGAAATAACATGAGCGAAGAATAATTCATTACGAAAAATAGTAAACAAGTTTTATTAAAGATAAAAGTGAAAGGACTTATTCGGATTATTTGGTTCATTTGTTATAACTTTTCCAAGAGGTTTTTTCAAGTAACTTTTCTCAAGTTAGAGCGATTCCGCTCACTTAAACATAGGACACTCACGCATCGTCAGTTTCTAAAAAGATAGTCAAATTTGAAAGAAGTCCATTCGATTGCAAAAAACGAGCGCATAGTCAACTTACGTATGATGGAAAACTTGAGCGTGTTCTTTTCCGAAAAATAAAACGATTTTTAATAGGGCCGGAATAACATCATGTAGTCACGTTTTGGAAGTATATGTTGTGGTTCAACTTTATCCTTGGTTCAAATTTTCTTTTCTTTTGTTTTTGGGTATGGTAATGTATGATAATAACATGATAGTGAGTTTGAAACAAAAGAAAAGAAAATTTGAACCAAGGATAAAATTGAACTTCAACATATATAAAGCAGCTGTCGAATTGGAGGCAAAATCTTGTTTTTCTTAATAAGATATTTTCAAACTAACAAAGAATGATCAGTCACTTGTTTTTCTTAACTGAGGCGTTACAACCAGTCTAAGACCCTGTTTACATGGAGTGGGGGACCCCGGTCTAGTGGGGTAAGTTTCTTTTGTTTTGTGTCACCCAGAGCGTGAAAACAAAAGAAACCAACCCCACTAGACCGGGGTCCCCCACTCCATGTAAACAGGCCCTAAGCGGCCTCATATTCGTTAACAAAAGAAAAATACATGTGAATAAAATTATATGCTAATTACTTCTGGTATCGCATTCAAAGTTGCAATTCTGCATGTGTTAATACGGTGTGAATTTTTTATTTCTAACCGTGAGGCCTTGATGTGTTGACCTCGCTATCGCTCGGTTAATACATCTTCTTTAGTTCGTCAGATTAAAAAGTCTTTTGACTTTTGTGGATAAAATTTCCATATTGAGTCACCAGAATTTTCCTAACTACGTGGTGTGTAAATTCACTGCTCGTTACACCTGCGGGAATACAGAAATGGATTCGATATCGAAAACGATTCAATTTGGATGGAATCAATCCATTGATAGAATGTGCGTGCACCTGACTTGTTTTACGTTAACTGATACGAAAAACAGGCAAAATTGACATTTCAAGCAATTGCGTTTTCTGTCCTCCTTTATAAAATAAATAACACTATGAGATGGCCTTGTCAATTTTAAAAACTGTTTCATTGTTGTTGTAGTTGTTTTTATCCATTGCCCTTCTTTTTTATTTATCGTCTTTGGAACTCCCTATTCTTAATTTTTTGAAAATGTACTAATTTTTGTAGAGCCTTGTATCCTCGCACCTCGCCAGAGATGGCTGTATTCGCAGGATAATCATAAATGAAATTAAGTTGACCTTAAACGATCCAGCAGTATTTGCAGTAAAGGCGAACTGACTGCTAAATTAAAACTATGATGAATTTTAAAGCATCTCTGTTTCTCCTCCTTGCGCTAATTGCTGTCACAATAACGCCATCAGTTTCTGCATAAGACTACCAGTTTGTTTAATATGTGGGATGTTCAGGTGCCACTTGTTAATTGATGTTCAGAAGTACCTTTTTTTGGACTGAAAGTTATTAAACAGTATATCTTTATTCTTGCTGTTAAAGATAAAACTATACACCGATGTTCATAGCTGACCACAGCAACTTATCAATCGAAACAAATTTTAGAATTTTGAAACTATCCATACTTTCGACCTGTGTTTGAATTTTCTTTGCTTGGACAGACACCTCAGTTACGAACTTTAATTAAATCATTAAAATTTTAACTGTATTGTAAATGAGGTTTAAACATTAAGCAAACTTAAATTTACATAGCAGCATCCTCCTTGCTATGCTACTACTACGCTGGCTGGTAACTTAATTTAAAATGCGTGTTTGCAAGAACCGTTGTGTAATTAACATTTTTCAATTTTTAGATATTAACTTTTTGATATACGACAATTATGAAAGCCTTTTGTCAGAATGCTCAGTTAAACGTCGCAGTGTTGCGGTAGAGTAAAGCTGTTACAGCACTTCTTTTCAACAGCAAAGTATTTATATTCACCATTCAACAGGAGACACATTTTGTGAATTCCGATGTCCTCAACCGGCCTAGGCGTTTTCAGCATTGCTTACCAAAACGGCAACAAACTTATTAATTTTGTCCTATCCTCTACATTGGCAGGACAAGTCAATCACTGAAAGGACACGCGTCAATCGAGCTCAAAGTATTAATTAACTTGCTATATACAAAATTATGTATATATTTATGAACCCTGCAAATTTTACCGGAGAACTTCCTTTACACAGACACACCCTGTTCACGAAAACGGCGCTGTAATATTGTAGAGATAAGTAAAATGATTTCCTCACTCATTTTCTGCTTCATTGTTGGCGCAGTTTTAGCAGCCGAAGAAGAAACTAGATCTGCCTACATCAAAACTCGAGAGAACAAGCGTTTACAAGGCTATGTAGTCAAGAAAATCGATTCTACGGATGAAATGTCATGCAGTAAAGCATGTTTAATGCATTCTTGGTGCACCTCTTCTAACTTCAAAGAGTCCTCGGGTAACTGTGAACTGAACAAGCATGAGTTCTCTACAACTGACGATGACACCAAGCTCACTGATAATCCAGGCACAACGTTTTCAATGTTTCTTAAGGTAAGAAAAGTTCTGAATTTTCATTGCTTAGACAACAAGGGCGTGCGTGTGCAGACGAGCCTAATTTCCGCGTGCAAGAAGAAATAGACTCGTGCACCCAGGCTAAGGCAACAACTGTTCAAGCGAAACTACGTAAAAAAATAGAAATTTGGTAAAACAGTGAAGTTGAGTTGTTGTAAAAGAGCACTAGCTAGCACTCGCATTTCAGTCATATGTTTCGTATGGGAGCGAGCATCTTTTCCTTTCCCAAATTTTTCAGTTCCTTAACATTATTATCGAAGGCGATGTTTTCTTCCCTTACAAGAGGCTTGCATGTTTTGAAAATAAAGTTAAGAGAAGTACAGAGTGCAAACAACTATAAATGTTAAAAAAAGAGGAACGCAGAACCGGCAATTTATCAGTGGAATTTTTATGTTCAACATTAGATTTGCGTTGTGCCGTTAAAAATGTTGAGGGATCAGTCTCTGCAAGCTGTAGGAAGTCGATGGAAAGCGATATATATCATTTTAGTTCACCGAAGTAACATATGAACATTTTCCTCAGGGCTGCCTAATGACTGGATGCCTTAACGGAGGTTCTTGTTTGTTCGACGAAGGGAAAGATGCGTTTGCTTGTTCATGCAATCCGCAATGGAGAGGAGAAAAATGCGAAATGGGTAGGTCTAAACTGTTTTTGTTCCTTAAGTACGATAGACTATATAGGAGAAGAGTGAAAGACGTAACCCGGCTGAAAACGAAGCACACGACTTAACGTTCTATACTAAAGTATATGTTGTAGTTAATTTTTTATCCCAGGTAATTTTTGTTTCTCTTTTGTTTTTGGGTATGCTGATGTATGCTAATGAAGTTGAAACAAAAGAAAAATAAAAATTACCTGAGACAAAAAATTAACTACAACATATACGTGGCAGTTTTTTTAGAAGCAAGGAAAGAGTTATAATCTGCTGGCAGGTTTCCTCTAGCGATGCAGTTGATATAATCCTTAGGAATTAATTTACATCCCGTCTAATATAAGAAAAGTATGTAACGTATGAGACTTTGGCGTTTACCGTTAGCCTCGAATGTGGAAAAGGTCGACATTAGATCTGGCAAAATTTTATGTGACGCTCAAATTAACGTAAATGATACCTAACACCTGGATTAACCCAACATGACGGCCGTTTTTAAAGAGAAAATTTGCTTGCATGAATTAGACAATTATTTTGCTTAAGGCTTTTCCGGCGAAAAACTGGTCAATCGTCTGAGGAAACAGATTCTAAATAGAAGTGTAAATTGCTTTATAGTTAGTCGTAAAGGAAACAAAGTGCCAATGCGCAAACTTGGCACAATTGTATTTGCGCTTTTTCTCTGTCGGTGTAGCAGTTTCAACCCACCTTTGCGTCGTTTGTCGCCATTTCTGCTGCCCTCTGTCGCTGTTTCAAGGCCCTTTCGCTTCAGTGTCGAAATTTAACCTAACAGGGCCTCAAGAAAGTGGCCAAAACAAGTGCAATCAACGGACACGCACCTAATAAGGGTGAAACTATACAAAACACCACTGTTGTTTGGGCCTGATGGGTTTAAAGTCTGAAAATAAATAAAGAGAGAGTGAAAATAAGACGACCCCAAATGTTTTGTATGCGCCTAATAAGCCTGCATTGCCAGAAAAACTGAGTATGGACTCTCTCCTCCGCAGAGGCCTCCTTGTATTGTGCGAGATAGACTGCAAAACAGTCCGTATTTTTGCGTATTCAAATACGCGCGAGCAGTCAAACAAAAGGTCTGGAATGAGGCTGAAAACAGAGAGCGAGACTGGGGAGAGACGCTAAAAATACGGACTGTCCGTTTTGCATACGTTATATTCGTTCGAATTACCCGCTTCTCCCAGCCACGGGCAATTCCCATTGGCTAAATTTCGATGCAAGCTGTCACCAAGCTGTCAAGTAATGTTTTCAACATGTCATTCACGTTGTTCCATACAGAGATGAATTGCTAAAGCTTTCGCTGTAAAATGACAGATGTTGATCGCCTCGATTTGCTCGCAAGAATTGGGATTTGTTTTAAAATCGGAGCAGAGGGAAGCTTTGGAGTTGCTACTCAGGGGAAAGGATGTTTTCTGTGTTCTACCAACAGGATTTGACAAAAGCCTCATTTATCGGATGTTTGTTCATGCAAAGGGTTCTTCAAGTTCCGTGCAACGGCGGACCGTCATTGTTATCTCGCCTGGCTAAAAAAGCGATCGGTAGGAAACACACGACTTTTACCTCATGCAAACATGCCGCTTGTTCCAATGAATTGTTCTCTCTGTCGAGTAGATTATGCTTTGGAGGAAAACGTTTTGACTGAGCAAATGTGAATTTTGGCCGCTTTAAATATATTTCAAACTGAGAGGTCGTGACACGCATATTGATTTTCTCTGGTAGGCATGATTTGCCCTCTGACGCAAGAGCATTTTCTTTCTTGGCCCCTTTAGAAATGTAAAGCTCTTCATTGCGGCTGATTAAGGGTTTTAGGTTGTTTTATTTCTCCAAAGTGCCTCCTGGATTTGAATAATTTTAAGCGATTTTCTTTGTGTCCGTGAATGTGACTTTTTCCTGCAATATTTTGTCACGCTGGGCCCAGCTCGTTAGCGTTTTTGGCAGGATTTTAATTTTTCACAGATAGTAATTTACAGAGCTAAATCACCAAAACGTGGTTTGGAATGAGGGGATTTACTCATTCTCTTCAATCGCAATAATTGTTCATTGTCAGTTGGCGTGTTCAGTTCTTCTCTAATTTGCGAAAGCATCGCCGCACAGTTTCCCGGGGCAATTTCTAACCGTTGTTCCGCACGGAGAGCAAACTGCTCTTGTGGAGAAAGATTCTCCTTCCTCGAGGACAACGAAAAGTTCGTTTTTCAGTAGGTCGGCCCACTTTGGTAACGTTTCCCTTTTTCTGGTATCCATTGGTAAAATTGCCGAACTGTGTTTTGAAACAACAGCCGCACATTCTACAATTTGTCCAAAGCCCTCGGCTCTTTCGGCTTTCTCCCTCTTCGAGGAGCAGGCACAGGCTTTGTTGTCATACTGCCACTTTCACTCATTTTTGATCCTCCACTATATATATACTACATTTCACTATATACACTACATTTCACAGGGAAGCAACGCTAAAAACTGTTTTGGAATTACTGGATTACAGCGTCAATAATAACACGCGAGTCTATCAAATTCACAAAGAGGGCGGAGTTGCGAACAGATTTTTGACAGCTCGACGACATTTTTGAACCCCCTGGTCGGAACGAACTCATTGTATGGAAAATGGACAGTCGGTTTTTTTTCTCTCGCCTCACACGCCCGTAGGGCGTGTGAGGCTCGCGCGCTTCGCGCGCGTAAGACTCTTACGCCACGCTTTACCGATTTCTTTACTGATTTTGAGAAAAAAACCGACTGTTTTGCAGTCTATGTGCGAGAGCACGCTGGGCACCGGCGCGCTGTTTATTTTTTCGATTATTGCTATTTTTATACGGATACCCAGCAGGAGCCTCTGCAGAGGAGAGAGGAGTATGGACCAGTCTGAAATGTCACAGGTCCCCACCCCCTAATCCGTGCGGGACGCGTCTCTCTCCCCCGCGCCTTTAACGGGTTAGGGGATGGAGACGAATGACATTTCAGACTACGTATGGACATTTTCGTTCATCCGGGAATTAATAAAGGCGGTATACAGAGAAAACACATTTCCCTTTTGTGGGTCGGTAGGGAAGGACATAACGAACAAACCATTAGTTTTCCCATGAAGTAGTGTGTCGTCTGGCCTAGCCACTTCCCTTATTGTGGCACCCAATCAAAGAAAACAGTAATCATCAAAATGATTTTCCACGATAGATTTCAACAGACGATTGAAGGGATCATTCAGCAAAAATTATATTTTTCTAAATAATTCAATGCATTCTATTTACTATTTTGCAGACATAAACGAGTGTGAGACAGGAAAGCATCACTGCGACTCCAATGCTTTCTGTAACAACACTAAAGGCTCTTACATTTGTACATGCAAACCAGGATATAACGGAAACGGCGTTAACTGCACAGGTAAAATAATTAAGGAAGCGAAAACCCTCAGCTGATAGCACTGAATAACCTGATAGGAAAGCATTTCTATTCAACAAATTTTTTCGAGTTCCATTATGGTGAATGCATGTAACATCTTTAGGGGTTCTTTAAAATCGGTTCCAACATGATAGATAGGCCGCTTGTTTATCGTTGGCATGCGAGCAGGCTCACTTGTGCTAGTTTGGGGTTATATGTTAAGGCGGTGGTGCCGTCAGCGGGAACTGACGAATAAGGCGATTAAACGTTACAAAATATGTGTATATGCGGCAACAATCATTAGCTCGATTCGCGGTTTTTTTTTCACGGGTTTTTTCCCTTTTTTCCATGACTATATTTTGCTATCTTCCGTAAAAATTTCCTCGTGCAACGTCGACATTTTACTTTGTTCCTATTGGATAGTATCTTTACACCTCTCACAGGGGCGAAATTAAACAAATAAATAGCCCGTCTGCAGGCTCGCTTTTCTCCGTCCCATTCTTTTTGCCGCCAGCTAGCGCTGGTGGCTCCACCGCCAAAACAACCCCACACTCTAACAAGTAAACCTGTTCGCAGGATATATAGATTTAACCAGGGCAAAAAGCGAATCTCTCGATAATAGTTTGCTCAAACAAATTAAAAAAAAAAGTGTAATTAATGCTAAGCGGCGAAAGAGACTAGAACGGTAAAAAACAATTGTTACAATAGGTCTAATTAGCAAAAAAGCAACTTTGCACGTGCAGCACACCTTTTTTGTACATTTCTTTGCCGTTGTTTTGCACGACTACAACGTGACACTTTCAGAAACTTCCTGGTTACAACTGGTTTCACGTTCTATGGAGGAAGTGTCGTACGTGTCGTCCTTGTTCACTTTTTTTTTTTCACTGGCGCTCATTTTCACCTTGCATTTGGTGGCCGCTAACATTTCTTACTTTCTCACCGCCGCTACAAAATTGTCATGCTGTTCTTTCAACGAAATAAATGTCTCTTTGGTCTCTCTCTCTCCCTCCCCCTCTCCCCCCCTCTCTCTCTCTCTCTCTCTCCCGACCATACCCTGTTGGTAGTTTTTCTTAAGCTCCTTAGGTTTTTCTAATCCTCTATCTCTACATGTGATGTTATTTCTTCATTTTTAACCGGCTCAATATATAGCAATAATCTTTTTGCTTCTTAATAATGATTTTCCACGAAAGATTTCAACAGATGATTGAAGGGATCATTCAGTAAAAATTATATTGTTCTAAATAATTCAATGCATTCTATTTACTATTTTGCAGACATAAACGAGTGTGAGACAGGAAAGCATCACTGCGACTCCAATGCTTTCTGTAACAACACTAAAGGCTCTTACATTTGTACATGCAAACCAGGATATAACGGAAACGGCGTTAACTGCACAGGTAAAATAATTAAGGAAGCGAAAACCCTCAGCTGATAGCACTGAATAAACTGATAGAAAAGCATTTCTATTCAACAAATTTTTTCGAGTTCCACTATGGTGAATGCATGTTACATCTTTAGGGGTTCTTTAAAATCGGTTCCAACATGATAGCATGTGATAGGCCGCTTGTTTATCGTTGGCATGCGAGCAGGCTCACTTGTGCTAGTTTGGGGTTATATGTTAAGGCGGTGGTGCCGTCAGCGGGAACTGACGAATAAGGCGATAAAACGTTACAAAATATGTGTATATTCGGCAACAATCATTAGCTCGATTCGCGGTTTTTTTTTCACGGGTTTTTTCCCTTTTTTCCATGACTATATTTTGCTATCTTCCGTAAAAATTTCCTCGTGCAACGTCGACATTTTACTTTGTTCCTATTGGATAGTATCTTTACACCTCTTAGGGGGGCGAAATTAAACAAATAAATAGCCCGTCTGCAGGCTCGCTTTTCTCCGTCCCATTCTTTTTGCCGCCAGCTAGCGCTGGTGGCTCCACCGCCAAAACAACCCCACACTCGAACAAGTAAACCTGTTCGCAGGATATATAGATTTAACCAGGGCAAAAAGCGAATCTCTCGATAATAGTTTCCTCAAACAAATTTAAAAAAAAATGTAATTACTGCAAAGCGGCGAAGGAGACTAGAACGGTGAAAAACAATTGTTACAATAGGTCTAATTAGCAAAAAAGCAACTTTGCAAGTGCAGCACACCTTTTTTGTACATTTCTTTGCCGTTGTTTTGCACGACTACAACGTGACACTTTCAGAAACTTCCTGGTTACAACTGGTTTCACGTTCTATGGAGGAAGTGTCGTACGTGTCGTCCTTGTTCACTTTTTTTTTCACTGGCGCTCATTTTCACCTTGCATTTGGTGGCCGCTAGCATTTCTTATTTTCTCACCGCCGCTACAAAATTGTTATGTTGTTCTTTCAACGAAATAAATGTCTCTTTGGTCTCTCTCTCTCCCTCCACCTTCCCTCCCCCCCCGTCTCTCTCTCTCTCTTCCGACCATACCCTGTTGGTAGTTTTTCTTAAGCTCCTTAGGTTTTTCTAATCCTCTATCTATACATGTGATGTTATTTCTTCATTTTTAACCGGCTCAATATATAGCAATAATCTTTTTGCTTCTTAATAATGATTTTCCAGGAAAGATTTCAACAGACGATTGAAGGGATCATTCAGTAAAAATTATGTTGTTCTAAATAATTCAATGCATTCTATTTACTATTTTGCAGACATAAACGAGTGTGAGACAGGAAAGCATCACTGCGACTCCAATGCTTTCTGTAACAACACTAAAGGCTCTTACATTTGTACATGCAAACCAGGATATAACGGAAACGGCGTTAACTGCACAGGTAAAATAATTAAGGAAGCGAAAACCCTCAGCTGATAGCACTGAATAAACTGATAGAAAAGCATTTCTATTCAACAAATTTTTTCGAGTTGCATTATGGTGAATGCATGTTACATCTTTAGGGGTTCTTTAAAATCGGTTCCAACATGATAGCATGTGATAGGCCGCTTGTCTATCGTTGGCATGCGAGCAGGCTCACTTGTGCTAGTTTGGGGTTATATGTTAAGGCGGTGGTGCCGTCAGCGGGAACTGACGAATAAGGCGATTAAACGTTACAAAATATGTGTATATTCGGCAACAATCATTAGCTCGATTCGCGGTTTTTTTTCACGGGTTTTTACCCTTTTTTCCATGACTATATTTTGCTATCTTCCGTAAAAATTTCCTCCTGCAACGTCGACATTTTACTTTGTTCCTATTGGATAGTATCTTTACACCTCTTAGGGGGCGAAATTAAACAAATAAATAGCCTGTCTGCAGGCTTGCTTTTCTCCGTCCCATTTTTTTTGCCGCCAGCTAGCGCTGGTGGTTCCACCGCCAAAACAACCCCACACTCTAACAAGTAAACCTGTTCGCAGGATATATAGATTTAACCAGGGCAAAAAGCGAATCTCTCGATAATAGTTTCCTCAAACAAATTAAAAAAAAAAAGTGTAATTAATGCTAAGCGGCGAAGGAGACTAGAACGGTGAAAAACAATTGTTACAATAGGTCTAATTAGCAAAAAAACAACTTTGCAAGTGCAGCAAACCTTTTTGTACATTTCTTTGCCGTTGTTTTGCACGGCTACAACTTGACACTTTGAGAAACTTTCTGGTTACAACTGGTTTCACGTTGTATGGAGGAAGTGTCGTACGTGTCGTCCTTGTTCACTTTTTTTTTCACTGGCGCTCATTTTCACCTTGCATTTGGTGGCCGCTAGCATTTCTTATTTTCTCACCGCCGCTACAAAATTGTTATGTTGTTCTTTCAACGAAATAAATGTCTCTTTGGTCTCTCTCTCTCCCTCCACCTTCCCCCCCCCCCGTCTCTCTCTCTCTCTTCCGACCATACCCTGTTGGTAGTTTTTCTTAAGCTCCTTAGGTTTTTCTAATCCTCTATCTATACATGTGATGTTATTTCTTCATTTTTAACCGGCTCAATATATAGCAATAATCTTTTTGCTTCTTAATAATGATTTTCCAGGAAAGATTTCAACAGACGATTAAAGGGATCATTCAGTAAAAATTATATTGTTCTAAATAATTCAATGCATTCTATTTACTATTTTGCAGACATAAACGAGTGTGAGACAGGAAAGCATCACTGCGACTCCAATGCTTTCTGTAACAACACTAAAGGCTCTTACATTTGTACATGCAAACCAGGATATAACGGAAACGGCGTTAACTGCACAGGTAAAATAATTAAGGAAGCGAAAACCCTCAGCTGATGGCACTGAATAACCTGATAGGAAAGCATTTCTATTCAACAAATTTTTTCGAGTTGCATTATGGTGAATGCATGTTACATCTTTAGGGGTTCTTTAAAATCGGTTCCAACATGATAGCATGTGATAGGCCGCTTGTTTATCGTTGGCATGCGAGCAGGCTCACTTGTGCTAGTTTGGGGTTATATGTTAAGGCGGTGGTGCCGTCAGCGGGAACTGACGAATAAGGCGATTAAACGTTACAAAATATGTGTATATTCGGCAACAATCATTAGCTCGATTCGCGGTTTTTTTTTCACGGGTTTTTACCCTTTTTTCCATGACTATATTTTGCTATCTTCCGTAAAAATTTCCTCCTGCAACGTCGACATTTTACTTTGTTCCTATTGGATAGTATCTTTACACCTCTTAGGGGGGCGAAATTAAACAAATAAATAGCCCGTCTGCAGGCTCGCTTTTCTTTGTCCCATTCTTTTTGCCGCCAGCTAGCGCTGGTGGCTCCACCGCCAAAACAACCCCACACTCTAACAAGTAAACCTGTTCGCAGGATATATAGATTTAACCAGGGCAAAAAGCGAATCTCTCGATAATAGTTTCCTCAAACAAATTAAAAAAAAAAAGTGTAATTAATGCTAAGCGGCGAAGGAGACTAGAACGGTGAAAAACAATTGTTACAATAGGTCTAATTAGCAAAAAAACAACTTTGCAAGTGCAGCAAACCTTTTTGTACATTTCTTTGCCGTTGTTTTGCACGGCTACAACTTGACACTTTGAGAAACTTTCTGGTTACAACTGGTTTCACGTTGTATGGAGGAAGTGTCGTACGTGTCGTCCTTGTTCACTTTTTTTTTCACTGGCGCTCATTTTCACCTTGCATTTGGTGGCCGCTAGCATTTCTTACTTTCTCACCGCCGCTACAAAATTGTCATGTTGTTCTTTCAACGAAATAAATGTCTCTTTGGTCTCTCTCTCTCCCTCCACCTTCCCCCCCCCCCGTCTCTCTCTCTCTCTTCCGACCATACCCTGTTGGTAGTTTTTCTTAAGCTCCTTAGGTTTTTCTAATCCTCTATCTATACATGTGATGTTATTTCTTCATTTTTAACCGGCTCAATATATAGCAATAATCTTTTTGCTTCTTAATAATGATTTTCCACGAAAGATTTCAACAGACGATTGAAGGGATCATTCAGTAAAAATTATATTGTTCTAAATAATTCAATGCATTCTATTTACTATTTTGCAGACATAAACGAGTGTGAGACAGGAAAGCATCACTGCGACTCCAATGCTTTCTGTAACAACACTAAAGGCTCTTACATTTGTACATGCAAACCAGGATATAACGGAAACGGCGTTAACTGCACAGGTAAAATAATTAAGGAAGCGAAAACCCTCAGCTGATAGCACTGAATAACCTGATAGGAAAGCATTTCTATTCAACAAATTTTTTCGAGTTCCATTATGGTGAATGCATGTAACATCTTTAGGGGTTCTTTAAAATCGGTTCCAACATGATAGCATGTGATAGGCCGCTTGTTTATCGTTGGCATGCGAGCAGGCTCACTTGTGCTAGTTTGGGGTTATATGTTAAGGCGGTGGTGCCGTCAGCGGGAACTGACGAATAAGGCGATTAAACGTTACAAAATATGTGTATATTCGGCAACAATCATTAGCTCGATTCGCGGTTTTTTTTCACGGGTTTTTACCCTTTTTTCCATGACTATATTTTGCTATCTTCCGTAAAAATTTCCTCCTGCAACGTCGACATTTTACTTTGTTCCTATTGGATAGTATCTTTACACCTCTTAGGGGGGCGAAATTAAACAAATAAATAGCCCGTCTGCAGGCTTGGTTTTCTCCGTCCCATTTTTTTTTGCCGCCAGCTAGCGCTGGTGGTTCCACCGCCAAAACAACCCCACACTCTAACAAGTAAACCTGTTCGCAGGATATATAGATTTAACCAGGGCAAAAAGCGAATCTCTCGATAATAGTTTCCTCAAACAAATTAAAAAAAAAAGTGTAATTAATGCTAAGCGGCGAAGGAGACTAGAACGGTGAAAAACAATTGTTACAATAGGTCTAATTAGCAAAAAAACAACTTTGCAAGTGCAGCAAACCTTTTTGTACATTTCTTTGCCGTTGTTTTGCACGGCTACAACTTGACACTTTGAGAAACTTCCTGGTTACAACTGGTTTCACGTTGTATGGAGGAAGTGTCGTACGTGTCGTCCTTGTTCACTTTTTTTTTCACTGGCGCTCATTTTCACCTTGCATTTGGTGGCCGCTAGCATTTCTTATTTTCTCACCGCCGCTACAAAATTGTTATGTTGTTCTTTCAACGAAATAAATGTCTCTTTGGTCTCTCTCTCTCCCTCCACCTTCCCCCCCCGTCTCTCTCTCTCTCTTCCGACCATACCCTTTTGGTAGTTTTTCTTAAGCTCCTTAGGTTTTTCTAATCCTCTATCTATACATGTGATGTTATTTCTTCATTTTTAACCGGCTCAATATATAGCAATAATCTTTTTGCTTCTTAATAATGATTTTCCAGGAAAGATTTCAACAGACGATTGAAGGGATCATTCAGTAAAAATTATATTGTTCTAAATAATTCAATGCATTCTATTTACTATTTTGCAGACATAAACGAGTGTGAGACAGGAAAGCATCACTGCGACTCCAATGCTTTCTGTAACAACACTAAAGGCTCTTACATTTGTACATGCAAACCAGGATATAACGGAAACGGCGTTAACTGCACAGGTAAAATAATTAAGGAAGCGAAAACCCTCAGCTGATAGCACTGAATAACCTGATAGGAAAGCATTTCTATTCAACAAATTTTTTCGAGTTCCATTATGGTGAATGCATGTAACATCTTTAGGGGTTCTTTAAAATCGGTTCCAACATGATAGCATGTGATAGGCCGCTTGTTTATCGTTGGCATGCGAGCAGGCTCACTTGTGCTAGTTTGGGGTTATATGTTAAGGCGGTGGTGCCGTCAGCGGGAACTGACGAATAAGGCGATTAAACGTTACAAAATATGTGTATATTCGGCAACAATCATTAGCTCGATTCGCGGTTTTTTTTCACGGGTTTTTACCCTTTTTTCCATGACTATATTTTGCTATCTTCCGTAAAAATTTCCTCCTGCAACGTCGACATTTTACTTTGTTCCTATTGGATAGTATCTTTACACCTCTTAGGGGGCGAAATTAAACAAATAAATAGCCCGTCTGCAGGCTTGGTTTTCTCCGTCCCATTTTTTTTTGCCGCCAGCTAGCGCTGGTGGTTCCACCGCCAAAACAACCCCACACTCTAACAAGTAAACCTGTTCGCAGGATATATAGATTTAACCAGGGCAAAAAGCGAATCTCTCGATAATAGTTTCCTCAAACAAATTAAAAAAAAAAGTGTAATTAATGCTAAGCGGCGAAGGAGACTAGAACGGTGAAAAACAATTGTTACAATAGGTCTAATTAGCAAAAAAACAACTTTGCAAGTGCAGCAAACCTTTTTGTACATTTCTTTGCCGTTGTTTTGCACGGCTACAACTTGACACTTTGAGAAACTTCCTGGTTACAACTGGTTTCACGTTGTATGGAGGAAGTGTCGTACGTGTCGTCCTTGTTCACTTTTTTTTTCACTGGCGCTCATTTTCACCTTGCATTTGGTGGCCGCTAGCATTTCTTATTTTCTCACCGCCGCTACAAAATTGTTATGTTGTTCTTTCAACGAAATAAATGTCTCTTTGGTCTCTCTCTCTCTCCACCTTCTTCCCCCCCTCTCTCTTTTCTCTTCCGACCATACCCTGTTGGTAGTTTTTCTTAAGCTCCTTAGGTTTTTCTAATCCTCTATCTATACATGTGATGTTATTTCTTCATTTTTAACCGGCTCAATATATAGCAATAATCTTTTTGCTTCTTAATAATGATTTTCCAGGAAAGATTTCAACAGACGATTAAAGGGATCATTCAGTAAAAATTATATTGTTCTAAATAATTCAATGCATTCTATTTACTATTTTGCAGACATAAACGAGTGTGAGACAGGAAAGCATCACTGCGACTCCAATGCTTTCTGTAACAACACTAAAGGCTCTTACATTTGTACATGCAAACCAGGATATAACGGAAACGGCGTTAACTGCACAGGTAAAATAATTAAGGAAGCGAAAACCCTCAGCTGATAGCACTGAATAACCTGATAGGAAAGCATTTCTATTCAACAAATTTTTTCGAGTTGCATTATGGTGAATGCATGTTACATCTTTAGGGGTTCTTTAAAATCGGTTCCAACATGATAGCATGTGATAGGCCGCTTGTTTATCGTTGGCATGCGAGCAGGCTCACTTGTGCTAGTTTGGGGTTATATGTTAAGGCGGTGGTGCCGTCAGCGGGAACTGACGAATAAGGCGATTAAACGTTACAAAATATGTGTATATTCGGCAACAATCATTAGCTCGATTCGCGGTTTTTTTTTCACGGGTTTTTACCCTTTTTTCCATGACTATATTTTGCTATCTTCCGTAAAAATTTCCTCCTGCAACGTCGACATTTTACTTTGTTCCTATTGGATAGTATCTTTACACCTCTTAGGGGGGCGAAATTAAACAAATAAATAGCCCGTCTGCAGGCTCGCTTTTCTTTGTCCCATTCTTTTTGCCGCCAGCTAGCGCTGGTGGCTCCACCGCCAAAACAACCCCACACTCTAACAAGTAAACCTGTTCGCAGGATATATAGATTTAACCAGGGCAAAAAGCGAATCTCTCGATAATAGTTTCCTCAAACAAATTTTAAAAAAAATGTAATTACTGCAAAGTGGCGAAGGAGACTAGAACGGTGAAAAACAATTGTTACAATAGGTCTAATTAGCAAAAAAGCAACTTTGCAAGTGCAGCACACCTTTTTTGTACATTTCTTTGCCGTTGTTTTGCACGACTACAACGTGACACTTTCAAAAACTTCCTGGTTACAGCTGGTTTCACGTTGTATGGAGGAAGTGTCGTACGTGTCGTCCTTGTTCACTTTTTTTTTCACTGGCGCTCATTTTCACCTTGCATTTGGTGGCCGCTAGCATTTCTTACTTTCTCACCGCCGCTACAAAATTGTCATGTTGTTCTTTCAACGAAATAAATGTCTCTTTGGTCTCTCTCTCTCTCCCTCCATCTTCCCCCCCCCCGTCTCTCTTTCTCTCTCTTCCGACCATACCCTGTTGGTAGTTTTTCTTAAGCTCCTTAGGTTTTTCTAATCCTCTATCTATACATGTGATGTTATTTCTTCATTTTTAACCGGCTCAATATATAGCAATAATCTTTTTGCTTCTTAATAATGATTTTCCACGAAAGATTTCGACAGACGATTGAAGGGATCATTCAGTAAAAATTATATTGTTCTAAATAATTCAATGCATTCTATTTACTATTTTGCAGACATAAACGAGTGTGAGACAGGAAAGCATCACTGCGACTCCAATGCTTTCTGTAACAACACTAAAGGCTCTTACATTTGTACATGCAAACCAGGATATAACGGAAACGGCGTTAACTGCACAGGTAAAATAATTAAGGAAGCGAAAACCCTCAGCTGATAGCACTGAATAACCTGATAGGAAAGCATTTCTATTCA